TATTTAAAAAAAAAAAAAAAAAAGGCGCTTTGTTTGAAAAGCCAATTATTTAAAAAAAAAAACAAAAACTTTTTTTCCAATTATTTGGATCGCTTTCTAGACTGTCCTAGATTGCCTGTACTGTGCTTCTACCTTACTATTTAAGTTATTGTAATTTTATAATATATTTAATGTTTTTCAGGTCAAGTTCTCCTTTATTACTTAAAAAAATTTTTTTTGTTAATCTTCACCTGAGGATATTTTTTCCATTGATTTTTAGAGCGAGTGGAAAGGTGGAAGGGAGAGAGAGAGAGAAACATTGATATAAAAGAGACATGGGTTGGTTGCCTCCTGAACACCCCCCACGGGGAATGGAACCACAGCCGGGGTATGTGCCCTGCCTGGGAACCCAGCCTGCCACTGGCAGGGTGATGCTCAGCCAACTGAGCCATACCCGCCAGGGTGAGTCCAATTTGGTTTAAATCAGCCATGATGCTAACGGAAAGGAGAGCAAATCTACCAAGGACGGCAGTTGGGGGGATGGGAGGCAGGACCTTGGGAAATATGGCTAGAAGTTAAGGTTATTTCACCTTGAAATGTGGCTAAGAATGAGCCTGATGGAGTTCAGGCTTTTACATTAGAGAGATAAAGTAGACTGTTTAAAACCTCGGGTGGGAAAGGCTTGAGCAGGCCGAGCAGAGAACAGTGCAGAAGTCCCATGGCGATGGAATCAAGCGGATGGGACGGTAAAGGCACATGGAGCGCTGAAGAGAAAGGGCCGGGTGCCTGGACCGAGGGCCCTGCGCTTCCTCCTCGGGCTGTGGGTCTGCCTTCCTGAGCTGAGCGAGCACTGACTCTGCTGGTACCTAGGGCTGTGAGAAATGGGGTGGTTTTAGGTCAACCAAGAGATCAGAGGAACTAGAGTTGTTAATCTCAGAGAAACACAAACAGAGGAATACTTTAAAAGAGCCCAGGGAGGGTGCTCTCATAGAAAAGTGTGAACAGCTAATCCCACTCTGGGCTGAAAACAGGAAATGTGTGCTAAAAACCACTCACTTTACTGAGACAACACAGCACCACAAACCAAAGGGCATCAGTGATAGCATGGAGGGCTGAGGGCAGAAAGTCTCAGACTGAAAGGGGCACGGGGCAGGGACTTTCCTAACTACCTGTCCCCTCCCGGTCATTACCGCGGGAACCTAGATGGGCTTCCTTGGGAGTGTCAGTCAGTGTGGCCTCTCTCTGGCTGCCTCTTGGAAAGGCATAGACCTTCAGCACCTTTACGTGAGGTCTTGGTTGTAAACAGGGGCTGTTCCAGGGGCTGTGCCCGGGGTCCCTGGCAGTCCCACAGGTTTAATACATAATCTGAGTGACCATACTTGGGTGACTTTGGAAGAAATTCCCGATTTAGCGCTGTTTAACGAAAGCTACAAGGGACTCTCACTGTTCCACTTGGTTTTAGATGCCTGGACTGCCCAGCATTTCGCTCTGGGTCCTCATCTTTCCTTAGATGCATTTATACTGTGCCCCTGAGTAACCGTAGCCTCTCCTGCTGATGACTGACTCCATGTCACCACCATACTCCTAAGCTCTGGACCTGTATTTCCACACTTGATCTTAGCCAAGAGGCCGAGAAGCAGTCTCATGTGCATTTCCCACTGCCCAGGGGACAATTCCACAAGCACTTCCAACTTCCCAGGTCTGGGAGTGAGCTGCTTGTGAGCTTCCCCCCAGACCTTGATGAAGGTCATCTCCAAGGACTCAGTTGCCAAAACCCAAGGCCGGACTCCTTTCCCTTCCTTATCTCCCACCGCATTCTGTTCCATCTCTCTCCATCTGCCCCCCTTCTGCATTCTCAGTGCCATCACTTGCCTTAGACCTCAAGCACTTCTTGCCTAGATTTTGGATGACCTGTACTCGTGCTCTTTTCCAGTTCATCTTCCAGTGAGCTGTCTAAATTGTATTTCTAAAATACGTATCTGCTAAAAAGCTTTTAATGACTTCCCCTTATTTCTGGGACCTCAGACCTGACTGCTGCCCCACCTCTCGTTTTATGGCCTGCCCCTGCCAGCTGGACTCACCTTCCCGCCATCCTGGACTGCTGCCCACTCCCTCTCACCTCCTGCCCCTGCATATGTCTGTCTGTTTGATAGGCTCGCCCTCCTTCCCGTGGTCAGGTGTACAACTTTATCATAGCTCTGCGCATCGTGTGATTACAAAACTGTCTCTACCATTTTCAATAGAGCTTTTAAAACTATCTAGGAAGGTCTAAGTTTTTATTTATTAAAATTTGGATTGAGAATTTCTACCCCAAAGGTATAGTCTAACTGGGTAAATAGAGTCTATTTTGGCATCCTAATCCTTGATTTCACTGTGGCAGGGTTCAGGGCCAGAATAGGGGGTACACTCATATATTATCCCTTCTCTTTCTCTCTTTCTCCCTCTGTCTGTAAATCTCATGCACTTGATAGCATTTTTGAGAAGATTAAATGAGATGAGGCATATGCAGGACATATTTAGTGCATTTGATTAGTGCCCGGTACATTTAAGCTGCGTTACCCACCATGTAGAATGGCAGCTGGCTCATGAACGCAACTTCTGGTTAGATGCTAGCACCCCGGTGTCAGACAATTCTTGTATTCTCCTCCCAGTGGAAAATCTATTTGAGGAATCAGATTGCTGGGGAGAGCAAAATAAGGACAGAGAATGGTGTGGTCATAAAGGATCTAGAAGTCTAACGTGCTGGTCTTCCCCACCAAATAGGGACCTATCCACCCGGTAAACGATAATGCCCACAGCATCCACCCTCTGTCTTTTATTCTGGCAAAATATATATAACGTAAAATATACCATTTTAACCATTTTTCACTGCACAGTTTATTGGCACTAAGTGCATGTACAATGTTATCACCGTTGCCTATTTCTTAGACGTTTTCATTGCCCCAAACAGCAACTCCATTGGCCATTGAGCAGTAACTCCACATTGCCTCGCCCACCCCCTCAATCCTCGGTAACCTCTGCTCTGCTTCCTGTGCCTATGAAGTGTCCTGTTATAGGCATTTCATATAAGTGGAATCATGCAATATTTGTCCTTTTGTGTCTGGCTTGTTTCACTTAGCGCAATGTTTTCAAGATTCACCCGTGTCGTAGCAGGTGTCATAATGCGCTCATCAGCTCTTACGTTAGACCTTTCCCTTCGATGGCCCCGTCGGGACCGCTTTCTTGCTGTTTCTCCTTATTTTGATCATGTTCTTTTCTTCTTTTCAACATGTTTTCAGAGCCTCCCCTTCCGGAAGTAGATTTTTTCATAGCACATGGAAGGCCTCTACCACGCCTAAAACTGAGGAAAGCCAAGGAGAGCAACGGACCTATCAGGTCAGTAGCAGCCCCTGTTCCATGGCTGCCCAGTAAGCCTCATGGAGTGTTTTGGAATCTTTGGGTGGCAGCGCTTGAATAGTTGGGCACGGACTGGGCTCTTCATTTCAACCAGCACCCTTCCAAATAAGCAGGCCAGAGACCAGCATTTGGGCAGCTTAGCTGAAGAAATTAAAGCCATTTCTTTGATCATTGGACAGGAATTGGTTGGGATCTTCTGTTAGTGGCAGTGGATCAGGAGCATCATTCTATTTACTAAAACCAGAATATATTTTCCTTTGTTTAAGGATGGGTGGATGCTGAAAGGGTCATTTGGACAATTCTTTTAATTCATTCATGTATTGAGTTATGGGCAAAGTACCACATAGTTAATGACTGCTTCTGGAATCCCAGATAAGTAGTAGGATAGAATTAATTTACCTTGGTTGGAGGACTACATTGTGTTCAATTAAGCATTTTATTTACAAAAGTCATGGTAGGATTACAAAAGCAGAATTAATTCCTTTTTTAGAGAGGAAACTAGAGGTTTGCCTGGAGAGATGCGCAACTTGCTTACAGAAATAAGTTAAGGAGATGACAGTAATCTTGCCATCTTTGACCTAACCGGACATTGCCTCATCTCTCTTGACCCATCAGTCTAAATGACCCTTCGATACAATCAAGGTAGAACTAAACATGAGATATTATAAAAAGGAACATCTGGAGATATTGTCTGTGCCCATTTATAAGGAAACTTAGGCCTTTTCTGTCTCTCCATTAGTTTAAATTCAGTAAATGCTCAAAGGTCTTTCCAGGAATGGATGTTGCCTAAGTTGTTCTGTCTCTTGATTCCCAGCAAATGACTGGAATGCGCTATAATTCCGTTGCTATAAAGAGAACAGACGTTGTGATATCACTACCTGAGAGAACTTGCAAGAGCAAGTGTGATATTTGGGCCAGATAACTATGTGAGGCAAAAAAGAAAAGCCAAACGACAGTCTCCCCTATGGCTTGTGCAGGAAGTGGAGATCTGTGAGTCACTCAGGGGAGGGTGCTGAGGAGAAAGGGGTAAAGTCCTTCCAGAACAGTCATGTTCCAGACAGCCACAACTGCTTTTCTAAAGTCTTCAGGCTACTTACCCGCAGGCCGGTGGGACGGTGTCCTCGGCCTGGCCATGTATCTGATCTGAGCTGGGGGGTAGCAGCTTTGCCAGAGTGTGAGGCAGGCATGAGTCTGCTTTGTGCATTATTGATAAGGGGGCAGTGGCTCGAGGCCCAGGGTGGAGCAGGAGCTCTGGGACCAAGGCTTTCTTCCGTAGCTTGGTGACCTTGGCTGGATGATACAGCCTGTTCCTGGGCTCTTTCAATGGTGGTGTCTCCCACCCTTCTCAGATTATAGGAATCACCGGGGCTGCTTTATCAGCAAGACAAATTCTCAGAATCAACTCCTGGAGATCTTGATTGAGTAGGTCTGGGATGGGGGCTAGAAACTTATCTAATTATCAAGCTGCTTAGGTAATTATGGTCATGCTAACTGGGAAGACTGCTTTCTGCCACGTGAACAGTGCCTTTAGTGGGCAAAGCACAGAGTCAGATAGTTCACATGAGCCTCAACTTTGCACTTGAACACCACCACCTACATGGAAAGGCAAGAGGGATTTGAAGATATGCTTATGGACTGGGTGGAGCTGCTGCAACATTTACTTTCTTCCCTGTGGCCATGATTCATAGGGATATCTTCAAGGCCCCAGGAAAGTGTGTTGTTACAGGTGTTTCCTTGTAGGCAGGGGATGCTTAGTAAATGATTACTGGTGGTGACAGTGACAACTTATTGCCCTGCAGGCTTTAGTTTGTCCCTTTCGTAGAAAACCCTTTGCCCGAAAGTGAACCCAGACTCGGGAAATCAGGGCCCCGAGGACATCTCTGATGTTAGGAATGGAGACTTTCCAAGTCCAACACCTGCTGTGGGGGAGGGCTCCCCTAGCCTAGCGACTCCCGACTCCCAGGCCTTCAGCAGGAGATGGGACATTAGGAATGTGGATTTACTGGTAAAACAGAATTATGTGGCCTAATGAGTTTTAGAAATTACCCTAATCATGTCTGATGCTGATGCATGGTTTTTTTTCTTTTTACTGAAATTTTAACTCAGGAAACATTAGTGGGAAGAGAGTCAATCACAGCTAAATACCTGTGTAAGGACTAACAAGAGTAAACCATTCAAATCCCTGCTATCAAGCCTGGTCGAGAAAGCAGATGTTTAAACAATTACTGTACCAGAGGCAGGTGATTTGTACTGAGGATATGGTAATAAAAAGGAAGGCGTGATTCATTCTCAGTGAGATTTTATTCTTAGACTTCCTTTCACTGACAGGTTTTCTGTTTTGTGGGGGTGGTGTGGTGGTAAATAAGAAAATACATGACAAAATGACACCTGATTGCTAACGCGTTTCTGTGTCCCCAGTTCACGAACGGTTTCACAATATACACGTGACATTTTGCCGTTCTGGCTGTTTCCGGATGTTGTCAGACTAGATTAACCCTGGTGACTTTGCACTCCTCGATTCTCATTGATTTCACATGAACTTTGCTAACAGTCTGTGAACTGCAGGGAATGTAAATCACATGAGTTCCGTGTTTGGTCACCATGTGATCTCCTGGAGCCTTTTTGCAGACTTAGTACATTAACTCTTGGGGGCAGTCAGCCCCCACGTGACTGCTGAACCCTTTCCCAGCGGGGCTTTATTTGCCCACGTGAAAATCACTGATTAGATCAACTTCATGGCTTGTATGCCCAGGGCAGCGATGTTTGCAACAGCTTCACTCAGCTACAGAGGATATCCTTGGCGTCCATCGGCAGCCAGTACATGAAAGACATTTCTCACCGGTGTCACCTTGCAATAACACTGTAGGTTAAAACGGAAGTTCCTCGACTGTTGGAGCTGTCAGACTAAATCCCACGTGGGCTCGGACTTCTTTTTGTCCAGTGTTGTATCTCCAGTGCTCAGAAAAGTGCTTATCTCATTGCAGGTGCTCACTAACTATGAATAAATGAATGAATGAGTCCCCAAGCAAGAGTCTGACAGACATTTCCTTTTCCCTCCCAGCTCCTATCAGGTGTTGGTGGCTCCCCTGGCCCTCCAAAGCACATTTTCTTGTGATTCTGGAGGGACTGCCTCATTCTTTAGCAATGCTTCTGATGTTGATGGATACGTGGCTGCAGAACTACTGGCCAGAGATATTCCTGATGACGCCATGGAGATAGCGGTTGGCGACAGGCTGTATTATGGGAAATATTATAATGCGCCCTTGAAGATAGGGAATGAGTATTGCATTATATTACGAATCACAAGTGAATGGAATAAGGTATATTTCTTTAAAAGCTTTTATGAACTCTCTATTTTCTTCACATGAAATTTGAATGCTTGAATATTTGTTTTTCCAGTGTTTGAGATGGACACTGCACATAATAACTGTAAGGGCGTGTCGAACACTTTGCCTTCATAAAGGATGGGCAGGTGAAACCTCGATGGAGGGTGATAGTCTGAGCTTCCTGGGGGATCTGGTTTTGGTTCTTCCTCTTACGCGTCACAGATGCCCTCATTCCAGTGCACTGCTGAAGCCCGAGTTAGAGAGGACTTTCTAGATCTCTCTGTCACGTCCCTGTACCCCTGCCAGGCTGCTGTCTCCCCTCATTCTTCCTGGAGCAGGCGGGAGGGGCAGATTAAGCTCAGTCCTGCCCTACTTTCCATCACTTTCATGGCTATTGCATGGGCCCCACTCTTCTCTCCCCGTCCTTAGAAAGCCTGTGTTCTTCCAGCAGTGGTCCTTTCATGAGACATAGAACAGAATATTCATCACGTTGTAAATAAATATAATGAGCTCAGTCAGTCAGTCAGTCAGGGATGGAAGAGCTTCTGGAATAAGCACTGTGATGTTCTCCTTAGGAGAACTCCATGAGTTTCAAAGGTCCTACCTCCACATTGGGGTTAGGGCTCAACAGATGAATTTTAGGGGACAAACATTCAGTCTATGACAGGGGATAAAGTGATAAAGGAGAGGAGGTTATGATAAAAATTCTAATTTATAGGAAACTCTCCTGTGATGTCATTGTTACCTCTTTTTCATACAGCTTAGTAGAACACGTGCCTGTTCTTTGGGATCTAAAGGAAGTGAAGGGGCCTTGACAAAATGTATACGTGAACTTGCATATTTCAATTGCAATTACTTCCCCCATGGGTTTCAAATATACTAGCGTTACAGTCAGAGTCATATCAAAATCAGTATTAATTTTTTCTTTTTCTTTTTTAAACAGCTTTATTGAGATACAATTCACATACCATATAATTTACTCATTTAAAGTAAAAAATTCTATGGTTTTTAGTGTGTTCACAAGGTTGTGCAACCATTACCACCATCTAATTCCAGAACATTATAGTAGTGATTTATTTTTAATTGTGGTAAAATAAAATCCACCATCTTAATAATTTTTAAGTGTGCAGTTTAGTAGTATTAAGTACATTTACGTTGCTATGCAACCAATCTCCAGAACTCTCTTCCTCTTGCAAAACTAAAACTCGATAGCCATTAAACAGCTATTCTCCATCCCTGCCCCCCCAACAATGCCTGGCAGTTCAGTTACCCTTCTATTGACTTCTGTAGGTGACTCATGGAAGTGCAAGCCTATAGTATTTGTCTTTTTGTGATTGTCATATTTCACTTAGCCTATCACATGCATCAGACCTCTCACTGAACCTGGATGTGACCTCAGTATCTTTCCAACATTAATCTCCAGGCAGGCAGTGCCAGTTGCTCAGAGCTGGCAAGGGGGATGAAACTTATTGCTGTTCCTGTTGTTGACCCACAGTGTGTACCTTCTGAGATCTATGGAAAGCTATAGAAGTGATCCCTGGGGTCTCTTGCCAGTCCCCTGACTTGGTGATCATGTGGCTGAGTTACAATATGTTAGAGCTGGATGAGACTTCAAAGATGTTGTCGTCCAAATTAAGAGATAAAACCCTGAAACTCGGAGAGCTAAAGTATCCTAAACCAACAGCACGTGTCATCTAGTTAAACATGTTGCTGTGTTTTCCTTTATAGGTGAGAAGATGCTCCTGTGCAGTATGGGCTCAGGTGACAGGTAAAAGCACTTTCTGCCTAAGAATGCTGTGCTCATTTCTGTGTCCAATCTGCAGCATCAAGTGTATGTTGGTGTTATTTCTTTTGAAATTGTCACAGGTGACAGAAACCCATCTCATATTAGCTTAAGCAAAAGACTGAAAAGGATGGGGGAAGGGGGATGGGAGCTTGTGGAATTCCAACACAAGCAGTGCCCCCAGCACCCCAGGAGCTGGGACTTGGGAACAGACACCCTGAGTGGGATTCTTCCTTTCTGTCTCTTTTCTCTGCTCTGTTTCTAAGTGCGAGTTGACCTCATTTTCTTCAACTATAAGCCATGTGGCGGGGAGGGATGGACCCCAGCTGCCCCCAGCTTAGCAACTTCAGTAGGAACAGAAAGTGTTTCAATTCAGGAAACATCTTCTCTCCTAGGGTATGTGGCTCTCTGTAGGAAGAAACACTGTTAATAGGAGATGGTGTACTGTGATCGGCCTACCTAGGGGTTTAGGCTTACGCTTAGGGCTGGTTGAGGGGCAGATGAGTGTGATTGACAACCCCCCATAGTGACAGGGGGACATGATCCCCATCAGGAAAAGAGGCACAGAAAAACATGTTGGCAGACCAAAGCAAAGAGCTACAACAGTCCACTCCTTTCAACCATTTGGCTGCTGAGCATGCACACACACATACACACATACTATTAAGAAAGACATCTTCCACTAAGAAAATGGAATTTTCCTCCATACAACCAAAAATGGAACCCTAGTGGAAAATAACTCCAAGGTGGGTCTGTTACTGCCTCCAGCTCCAAAACCAAGATTTGCGGCCACGGGCCATTCCTCTTGATCAAATCCAGATGTGCTTCTCACGATCGCGTAGCGGTCCATGACTAAATGGCAAATTCAGCCATTCTCAGACCACATTGTGTAATATGAAAGGAAAAACAACACGTGCTTTCACTTAGAAAGGGGGGAAAGCTAAAGTCCTGTGCACTGCTCAGGGGCCCATGGCAATGCCCACCTCCTGGTGGAGAGGAAAGGCAAGCACCCCGTGCCCTGGCAGCAGAGTGGGTCACTTGGCCCGTCAGTTGGGCTGCCTCAGCCTCTTCCCGGGTCCGCCTGGTGGGAGAGTGGCCTTGTCCCTTGTTCCCTCCATAGCCATTCCTAGGAGACGAGCCGGGAGGAGCCCTGCTGAGTCCTATACAGTTTAAACCTGCTTCCCACGTGCAGTTTTCGAGGCAGGGAGTCTGCCTGAGGAGTTGAGCAATGACAGACCCTTGTTTGCCAGGCTGGGCTTTCCCCTGGCAGCCGGCCAGTGGGTTGGATTCCCAGAATTCCATTATTTTGTAGATAATACCAGAAATCCTGTCGAGTTTACGACCTCTGAAGCTGGACCCTTTCCTTGCGGTTTGTGAGGCCTCGCAACATCCTGAGGAATTCTGCCCTCAGCCTGCAGTATCAGCTTAACACCTTGCATCCTGCCCCTGGCCTAAGAGCCCATGAAACAATAGGCCAGGTGGCGAGGAAGGGCCGCGGAACCCCACTTTCAGGGGGGCCCCACTGGGTGGCACGGCACGGTGAGGGGGTTCTTCCCACGCTGGCAGAGGGGACTGAGCCGGAAATGTTTGAGCGGGACCTGGGGATTAGGCTTCCTCCGTTGGTCTGCTCATCCCCTAAGCTTACTTCCCCTCTTCATCTCTGCCCACACCAGCCGCAGCCAGGGCAGAGGGCTTGGGGTTTCCGCTGGGAAGGCGGCACAGCCGGCCGGGGGCCGGGGGCCAGGGGCCAGGAGCCACCTTGGGTTACTGATGGCCGGACAGCGAGGGCTCTCTCCTCTCTCCCTATCTCCACCTTTATTGAGNGGGGGCCCAGAGCCGGGGACCGGGGGCCGGGGGCCAGGAGCCACCTTGGGTTACGGATGGCCGGACAGCGAGGGCTCTCTCCTCTCTCCCTATCTCCACCTTTATTGAGATAGAACTGCCATATTATTGGCATGACACTGTATAAGTTTAGGGTGGATAATGTGTTTAATTTGGTTTACATGTATATTGTGAAATGATTACCCCAATAAGGTTACTTAACGTCTCCATCATCTCACAAAATAACCATATATACACACACACACACACACACACACACACACACATACATATATACGGTCCCCCCAAAATGTGTACACACTTTGAATGATTATGAAGTCAGTGTTTATTAATATATAGTTCATTTTCAAAATTTAAAAGAATCTACAGAAATGAATAATTTTTTTCTATCAACGCCTGTTTTCAAATGGATGACCGTTCTTCTCCAGGCGCTGCTGAAAATGTGAAGCAGTGGAATCGCAAACATCAAAATCATTTCGTTCAGTATTTGTGTGCCCTCAATTCATCGACTGTTGCCTGTTTTGTACCATAAACTTTATCTTTTATGTATCTCCATTAAAAAAATGGCACTTTAGGATAAACTTTCTTTGTTCAAAGCTTAGTCTGGCTTCACCCATTGTTCCAAATCAGTTAAACTTGAAAAGGAATGAAAATTAAGAGAGCTATCAGTTGTTAAAGTATGTATACATTTTTGGGGACATTTGAGATCTACTCTCTTAGCAACTTTCCAGATTATAATACAGTATTGTTGACTATAGTCCCCATGCTGTGCAGTAGATCCCCAGAACTTACTCATCTTATAACTGGAAGTTTGTACCCTTATATCAACATCTGCCCGTCTCCCCCACCCCTCGGCAGCTCCCATTCTGTTCTCTGCTTTGGTGGATTCTGCTTCCTTAGATTCTACATAGAAGGGCGATCATATCGTATTTGTCTTTCTTTCTCTGACTTGTTTCACTCAGCATGATAAGTGAGGACCTCTCTTAGCAAATATGTATGCTGTACATTTCTGCGTGCAAATGGGGTAAGCTCCCTCTCTTGGAGTTTAATGAAGGCCACAAGAAACAGCCTACGTTCCAACACTGGGAAATTTCTGTGTCAGTCCGTTCCCTGAAGCTCTAAGCGTGGGAATGGAGTGGCCACGAGGAAAAAAGGTGATTCCTCCCACCAGAGGAATGGAGATGTGCGAGTATCCCAGACAGACACAGAAACAAGTTTCCAGATACCACTGCTTTCAGCAAACGTCTGGTATGACGGGCAAACACTCAACCTGGGTAGGAGAAATGGCCAAAGAGGTGGCTGCATTCTACTGTGATTTAGTTAAACAGGAAGGATTTTGCTTTGGAAGCATCTAAGTGGCATTTGGCAGCGCCTTTCCCCCCACTTTCAAATTAAGGACCAACACTGAGAGTGAGTTTGAACTTTGAATTCAGACTACTGGAAAACTCTGGAGGTACCAGAATACCCATTTGTGTTGAAATCCTGACAGGAACTCTAGCATTTGTTTTTCTATGTACATAATTAACCTGTGTTACTCACTAACCTCTGGCAGTCTCTTCTGTGATTAGGAGAAATTGCACCATTTCACCCATGCCAAGCAAAAGCCCCATTCTTGCCTTTGCCCAGTCATGAATTATGATGTTTACCTTTTACAGATTGCCCTTGAAAGGGCTTTGGGATGGTTACCAGGGAACCAGCAATTGGTTTGATGGGAAATGCAAAGACATGGGTTTCTTTGCCTGAGATCTGCTACTAATCAGCCGAATGTCTTTGAAATTATATTTAACTTGGCCGATTCTCAACGGCCTCTTTCTGAGATCTCTGAGATCCCTTCCAACCACAAAGTACTGTGAGTCTGACTTCTTGAGTCACAAAGCGAGGTCATTTGATATATGTGAAATGATAATAAACTGTAATCAGGGAACATTCTCCTGTCGCAGGCAGGAGCCTCTGAGTCAGTGACTTCTCTTTCGGCCCCCATTTTGCACGTCCAGGCATGCTGCTCTGATTTTCATTTCTGTGTTCACTCCTCACGGAGGACTGGCGAAGCCTCCTCTCTCGTTTCCCATCACCAGTGCTCAGGGGTTCCCTCTTCTCTCTAGCCTGCGTGTCACCACCGGACTGATATTTCTAGACTGCAGCACTGACTTTATTATTTCCCCTGACAGTTTTCCATAGTCCTCCATGACTTTTTTAGTCTTGTTTCCAAGGCCTCAGTGTGACACCAACGTACCTTTCTAATTGCATCTCTCATTTTTAACACAAACTTTTATGCCAGCTCTTCGCTGGATGTGGCCCCTGCCTTCTCTCCTTAATGTCATTGCTCTTTCCATGCTTACTGCCACCTGGATTGCCCTATACCCTTCCAGTAACCTCTACTTATTACAATCCCACCTGTTCTTCAAGATTAAAATCAAGTGCCATCTCCTTCCTGAAGCTTTTTTTATTTGCTTGACCAGATAGGATCTCTCTCTCTTCCTCTCTTCAGCCATCCTGCCATACATTAGGCAGGCGTGGGGAACCTTTTTTCTGCCAAGGGCCATTTGGATACTCATAACATCATTCTTGGGCCATACAAAATTATCAAGTTAAAAATTAGCTATGAAAAAATCTAGATTTATTGAATTTTGAGTGCCACCTTAGTTGCCTTGGCAGGGCCAGACCGAACGATACAGCTGTGAGCAAGACGTTCCCCACTCCTGGTGGAGAACATGGCACTGATTCAGTCACTGGGCCCAAACGTGCAACTCAAATGTGCACGTTTCCAGTTTATTTATAACAAGGGATCTCCGGGAGTCGGCATGTGATGCACCCCAAATAGAAATATTTATATCTTTCAAAGAGCTGCTGCATCAGTTTTCTTACTTTGTCCTCGGGGGAACCTGCTAAGCCGGACAGGAAGGTATCACTCTTGCTGGTACCTGGGGAAAATGGCAGAAAACTACCCAACAAACAGCATTTGTTTGCTGTATTCAACCACTGGAGCTAACTAGCATGTATCGAGCAAAAACTCCAAGTGATGTGAGAATGACTTTTTCCTCAATGCAAAGGAAAGCTGCCCTTAAAGGTCTACCCAGTGTGACTGACTTGAGAGAAGACCCACAAAAGCAGCACAGTAGCTGCATTTGTATGCTTGCCAAGATCAGTCTTCTCACCCTTTGTGACTTGAGTGTGGCCTGGTTTTATGCTTCCTTTTCAGAAATACCCTGGAACTGTGTTTTCCTGGGGCCCTACATCCTCAGGGCCAGCCCAGGGGGCAGGAGGCACTCTAGGCACTTTGGGGATTGTTTGTGGAATGAGGCCAAGCTCGGGGTTAACGTGGAGCGAGCACAGGTGGGTGCGCGCCTCCTGGGAGGGCGTGATTCCGGGCGCGGTGAGCTCAAGTGTGTGGTTTTGTCCCGCAGATTCATCACTCACGCTGGAGCAGGTGGTAGGCGTCGGGCTGGGCTCCGTGGCCGTCGTGATGGTTCTCGCATTCCTCTCCTTCTTAGCAGTGTGGTATGTGAGCCTGTTTTTGAGAAATGAGTGGAGTGGGGGGAGGATGGGGTTGGAGTCACGAAGAACAGCTGGGATTGAGGAGCGTCAAAAGGATATGGGTAGAGGTTGTCCTGGGCTCAGTGGACTCTCAGCAGGCAAAAGTCAGGAGTAAGTCTGCACCTTAGGGTGGGGGGATGCTCTCCTGTCTCAGGAGGCTCATCTCCCATGACGCTTCTCATGAATGAGCATGGGCTGCTCACAGGGGTGCCCCGTGGGAAAACCACAGTGTGCCAATGGCCTCTCTTTCCTCCTCCATGTCTAGACTGCAGATGGGAGCTGCGTGGGGAAGATGCACTGCTTCTGGGGCAGATGTTATGACAGCGTCTCAGGTGCCTGCACAGAGCACCTTCCATCAGGTGTGCGTGGGGGCCTGCGGATGCCCTCCATTCCCAGCTTGACCCCATTCCTGTATTCGAGATGGTGACTATCTCTATGGAACTCCCCAAAAGGAGGAAACTGAGGAATTGCTGACGTCTTCCCTGCTCCGTGACCAGTTCTGTGTCTATGAACTTGAGATCTTTGATCTATGATGGAATATTGACCACAGGCTGCAGACCATGTGGGCTGGGCCTGCATCTTCTTCTGAGTGATGCTGAGAGACAGCACCTCTGGACACTGAATGCAAGAGGGTCTCTGCGTCTTCGTTTATAGCATCTCTGTCCATTAATTCAGAATCCATTCTTTTACAATAAGCAGTGGGATGGACTTAAGTTTGGATTAAAATTTGACTTTATGGAAAAGGTCATTGACAAGGATAGAGATCATTGACACAGGCGAACTTGTCAAACACTTTAGAAGCAGCCCTTTGCCTATAATTAATTGACCTCTGATTGGAGAGTATACTAGCCTGGTCATGCCAATAAGTTCCTCAATGTCTGTCTGATGCAGCCCCATTAGTCTTATGTATTCAAAAGCCATAAGTGTTTGTTCCAGTAAAAATATTTTGTGAATTTAAACAATTCTCTTGAATATGAATATTTACAGCAGCCTTGGTTAATTTTATTTTTAATTAATGAGGGTCTCATAAAAATGCTCCATGGCTCCTCGTAGATTCAGTGGGCACGTAGTAACACCAGATTAAAACAATATCAAACCTGTGGCCAGAAACCATGTGTTTATGGGGGGTGGGGGAACAGTATCAGTGACATGCTCGCCCCTTCTATCTACAGCAACTGTGACTGTTACTCTATCAGGAACCATGACGCATTTGATGGAAGCAGTCCTGGGGCCGCTGTCACTGGGCGGCATTTACGGATGGAGTGAATGAGAGTATTTAACTTTCCTTCCTAACAGACATGCAACTCCAAGGCTCAGTAAGAAGCGAACAGAGGAAAAAGGCAGAGGCTCGAGATTTCTCTAAGGAACGGTGGCTTCTCCTCCTCCCTCCCTTTCTAGGCCTGGAGGGTAACAGCCGCGGGGGAGGCAAAAGGAGGACAGTTGAGTCCCACAACCTCTGGGCGCAGCGTCTAAGAGCTCGGCTCTAAAATTGGACAGCGTTGCAGTCCGGAGGCAAAGGGACAGTCTTTCCAACAGGAGGGCTGGCGTGTTCTCCACCAGCTTACTGGGCATTGGTGAGGGACAGGTTTGAGTAGCCTGGGCTTGTAGGCACATGAGGAGGCAGTAGGGACAATAGGAACAGGTGGAAACTGTCCACGAGGTTACTCTTCCCGGGGGGGGAGGGGAGGTTCCCAGCCCAAAGTATAACCATTCAGTTAGGAAGAGTCAGAGAGATGGAAGTAATGTCCCCAGACTTGGGTGTTCAATGCCAGCGGCCAGCCCCAGCCCCTGGCGGTGTTGGGCACTGTTAGGAATAATTGACCTTTGTCCTCTGAAGCACTACCTCGGACTCCAATTTAGGGTCAAGCTTTGGAGCCATTCCTGCTCTCATCCCAGATGAATTATAGAATAGAGCTCTCAATAGACTAATGCAAATAACTTTCTGCTTTTCATTTTTATGTGCAACAATTCAAACTCACGCTATTTTCACAGCTTGAATTCCATTTGGAATCATTACGCATTATTGTGATTAGTATAGGGTAGGCTCTCTGATGAGCGAGGGTTTTCCTTAAAGCCTCCTCTGCCCCAAGAAAGAATCTAAGCCTCTCCTCCTCCTGCTCCTCCTTTTTACTAGTTCTGTAAGCACCATGTGTTTTCATAACCCCCCCCCCCCAATGTCTAGCTCTAGAATTAACTGCCAACAAGTTACAGTTGTCCACATGGAAACCTAGCATAATTGTCATTGGAGAAAAAAAAAATCCTACTTGCTTAGCATCAAAAATTCTAGTTAAAATAACTATTAAGTAAAATATTAAGTAAAATGTACTTTTGGGTACAGTGCAGAGATATAAAAACCGTTCATGCCAAAGTACTAAAACAGCAAAAACACAGACTTTGTCACTTCCTCTAAATGTTCCAAATTATACCAGAGTCACTCCGTGTTAATCCTTAACAGAAGGAGATGCTGAGCATTTGTAAGAAGAATGTGGCATTTTTCTGCAGTTCCATCCTAATAGTTTTCTCATAAACATGAAAGCAGCTTTCAGTTTCCTAAATTCACCTGGTAGCTTTACCACGATACTGTTCTGTTCTCCCCCAAGTGGAACCTGGTTAAGGGGGAAAGACATCTCAGGAGACTGATGGTGGGTCTTCCTGGGAGAATGTGGGTCCTTCTATCGAAGGACAGGTCAGGTGGCACTCAGAGTTGGGTAAAGTGCCACTAAGTAAAGCTGGGTCCTAAGTGGGTCCTAAGGTGGGGGTGGAGGAAAGGGTCTTCCCTGTTAGCTGGCTTGGGGACAGTGTGTAGAGGGGAGCACTAAGATCCAATATGGAGTTTCTTCTAGACTGGGAATCAAAATTGGGGTGCTGCCCAAATAGGGAGCAGATTGTTCCCTGGCTGATTTTGTGTGTGTGTGTGTGTATGCCTGCACGCACGTAGTTTTTACTTATTTCCACCATAATTTTTGTTTGTACGTGTTTTTTCACTTCATTCTCACAACAGCTCTGTGTGGTGGGAGTATTAGAGTTATTGTTTACCCTATTTTAGAATGGAGAAATGGGTTCAGACAGATATGGGGCTTGAATTGTGGGGCCAAGTCTTCTGACTGCAAGTCTAGTTCTCATTGCTGGGATTTCACAGGCCTTGAGCTAATGTTTGGACAGCCCTTTTGGTTCTCGGAAGAGTCAGGCCTTTACATATTCTATCATCTATCTATCATCTATCTATCTATCTATCTGTCTATCTATCTATCATCTATCTATCATCATCTATCTATCTATCTATCTTCTATCTATCTTCTATCTATCTATCATCTATCTGTCTATCATTAATCTATCATCTATCATTTATCCATCTATCTCTATATTGAACTAGTGCCTTTGCTATTACAGTACATGTGTCTTTTAGACCTATCTTTTCACTATAAGGTTCTCCCCCCTACCCCCCATCACTTCTAAAAGGAACCACAAACAACCAAACAAATAGTTGGAAGTTAATTAGGGGAAATAGGTAATAGTCAACCTCTGACTCAAGACTTGAACTTGCAGCTGGGCACTTAAGACCAGGGCAGAAGTGATTATCTTGAAATTCCACATTTGCTTGGAATAAAGTTGATTTTAAATTGATTTTAAAGAAAGTAAGAATTCTCAGCGTTCCCTTTTTATTGCTAAGCTCATATTCTGGTTTTTCTAAACCTTCCTCTATTTTTCCGTTCTATTCATCTAAGAGAAAACCAGTGGTAGTAGTAGAAAATCAGATAGTGTTTTAAGGACCTTTGGCCTCCCCCCAACCTTTGTTGGTTAAACTAAAGTGCCTGATTTTGGAGAGGAGCGAGGGTGTGGCTTTTTCTGTGCCCAAGTTTGTGGGCTGGTGATACAATGAAGCAAATCTACAAAGTAATCTGTGCGTCCTTTTTGTTGTGCCTGTCTAGATATTTTATATTTTGTTATCTTGAGTCACTACTTTAGCTTCTGCCCCTGAAAATACATTCCCACAGCATCTTCTTGCTGTCTTTGTCCCAGATCCTTGCCATGCCAAGTGGAGGATTGCCCCATGGATGGCTCCAGTCACACTCGTTTTCTTACCCACTGGACCCTTTGTCCTTCCGTTGGTGGAAGTGTGGCTTTCTTCAACGGTTCCTACATTTTGTGGGCCTGACTGCCTCAGCTTCTTGACCCTTGGGTTTCTTATCCTTGGAATCAGATACCAGACCACTGTGCCTGCTGAAGCTTTAGGGATCACAAGTCAAATTCTCTGGGGCGGAGGTCCCCTTGCAGCTTTTTCCAGGATTGCACTGAGGAATACCCCTGACCCCTGCGATTGTGACGAGAGGAGGGAAAATGCTCATATGCCAATAGCTTTCTCTAAAGAACTTCTTCTTTTGACCTTTTTAATTTAAACCACTTTATATTTTGGGTATGAGGTTAAGAATCTGTCATTTTAGAATATGGAAGTATTTGCAACCAATTATTTTCTTCTCCATTCTTTGGAACTTTGGTCAAAACAAAACAAAAGGTGTACAGTTTGGGGTCAAAGGATATGAAAATATAGCTCACAGAAAGAAATGCAAATATCTCTTAAACGTAAGAAAAGATGCTCAACCTCGCTTTTAAGAAAAATGAAAATCAAAGAAGTATCATATTTTACCTGTCAATTTGGAGGAAATCCAGAAGTTTAACAACACACCCTTTTGTGAGGCTGTGGGAAAACAGACACCCCAACATTGTTAGTGAGAGCACAGAATGGTCCAACCCGTGCAGAAGGAAATTCTGCAATATTTACATTGCCTTTGTCTAGATGCCTTGTCCTTCAAACTAGCAGCCCCACTTGTGGGACCTATTCTATGCGTTCCCCTGCACATGTTCAAAATGACTCATGTACAGGGTTATTCACTGTCACATAGTTTACAATAGCAAAAGCTTCAACACAACTCAAATGCCTCTCAGGGGGAAACTAGTCAAACAAACTATGGTACGTCCATGTACACAATGGAATACTATGCAGTCATAGAAAAGGAACGAGGAAGAGCTCTATGCACTGATACCGAGTGCTCTCCTAGATGTACTATTTAAATGAGAAACGCAAGGTGGAGAATAGTGCATATGGGATGCTGTCTTTTATGTAAGAAAGAAGGGGACTGAGACTATTCACTCAACTTTCCATAAAGAAAGACCGTAATAAAAACAATGAGTTCGTGAAATGGCTACAAATCAAGCAAGGGAGAAGGAGATGCTGGTGGACAGGGTGAGCGTGAGTCTCGAGAGTGTTTATCTTCTGTTTTGTTTTGAATTTAAACACATAAGTATATTACTGTTCAAAAACATCAAAATAAAATTTTATAAGAAAAAATAAGTGTTCCCCTTAATACCCTATTACACATCTGTCAAATCAAAATCGGATGGGACTGCTTGGCTTCCTTCTCAACCTAGCCCCAAGGCACTTAAGATTTGGATAAGATTGGTTTAACTCTCCATTCCAAAACCGATGAGGCAGCCAGTACTGTCTTTTAAGATTCCTGAAAATTCCATGAGTGGGTAGAGGTGGGTGTGTTACATTCTCATGGTCAACTTTACGGCCTCATTTCTGCATCCTACGCGTCAGTTTGGCTGATGGATCATCTCATCCTCCCATATGAGCCCCTGTCCACCCGCATGGACCCACGTGTGGGATTCAGCTCCTTTTTGTGATTTCCACTCAAGGTCTTACTAAGGACTTTGGGCATTTTGATAATGTGAATGGAGAGTGTCTTAGTTTCCTATGGATGCTGTAACAAATTGCCACAAACTTGGTGGCTTACAACCACATGTATTAATATTATTATTATTATTATTATTATTATTATTATTTTCACATTTGTTATTTTAGAGTTCTGGAAGTCAGAAGTCTTTCATGAGTCTCACTGGGCTCCCGTCAAGGCATTGGCAGGGGTGTGTTCCTTTTGACATCTCTAGGGAGAACCCATTTCTTTGCCTTTTCCAGCTTCTAGAGGCTGTCCACATTCCTCCACTGTGGCCTTGCCTCTGTCTTCAAAGCCAACAGTGTATTATCTTCAGATCTTACTCTCACTCTGACCCTCCTGACCCTGCTCCTTTCTCTTA